CCCCCCCCCCCCGCTCCCCCTTCTCCTCTTTTGCCCCGCTTCCTCGCGGCTTTATGGTCTCTGCGGTAAAGGGGCGTCCATGATTTGGTACTTCTTCTCCTCCTGGACTAACGCGGGGTCGCCGCGGGTCCTCCCCGGCCGGGTCGGGTCGGCTGCTGGAGACAGATGAACCGCCCCATAGCCGGACCAGTCTCCCTTTCAAAAGGAAGCTTTCTCATAAGTAATCATACTTTTCGCGGTCTACTTCTTTTTTCCTCGCGCCTTTATTTCACGTGACGTGATTTACCCATTCAGATGACCGTAGATCAAACATGAAGAAAAATTCTCGCAAACCGCGGAAGGTTGATTTTTCGAAAATCTTCGCCGACGACGTGCCTTACTGTGGTGATTTGTGTCGTTCGATCGCCAATGTCATTATTTCCTTCTGCGACGACCGGCCTCTTTTTGCCGTTTTAAAATAATCCCGAAACGGCGATCAGGTCAGTGTGTTGTTGTGTTGTTGTGTTGTTGCCCTCGTTGGGTTCGGCGACGAATAACCGGCGCAGGGCAGAGCAGCTTTATCCCGCTCCAGCCCGAGCTCCGGCCACCACCCCCCGGCCCCGGTAGCAGTAAAGTCGCGAGCCCATTGGCTGCAGCTGTCTCCCCTCCCTCCCCCTCCCCCTCCCCTCCCCCGGAGCCGCGCGTCTTGTACGGCGCCACGCGTCGCCACGCGCCCGCGGCCCCATCCGGACCGTATTCATAATCTCCTTCATCTCGGAGGCAGCTCGCGGGGCGGGGCGGGGCGGGATAGGGAGGGGCGCGCCCAGACGCCCTGTAAGGTAGTGGAGCAGCCCATGAACAACGCCACCCGTCTCTCCATGGGGAGAGCGAGCAGGGCGTTCACTTCTCACATGAAAATGGTTTACACTCTCCAAGTACATTTTTTGAAGCAGACAATGTTGGTCTGCTTTCGATCGATCCCTCAATGAGCAGCTTTTCGCACTTGCTGCAGTTTTCCGGGGGGGGGGGCAGGGGGAGGTGTGGGTCGGTTTTGCCCATGGACTATGAGGGGTTGTTTTTCCTTCTTGTGCCAGTCACTGTGAAAAATTCTTGTAAGGGTTAGTTAAAGGAAACTTTTCCACGACGTGTAAAATGATTTGTAAAATTACACGCAAAAAATAAAATTTAGTTCCGTGCAAATCGGTTTAACTGCACAATTTTACACCCGTGCAAAAAAAAATAGCTGAATGTAAAAATATTAAGCTGTAGAGCTAAGTGGCATCAGCTCCACGGGTAATAAACGGTGCACTGTTAACGCCGTGGTCGCCTAGCAAGCCAAAATGTTGGCAGTCCTTTTTGACTGCCAAAAGAAGGCCAACTTTTGGCACTCAAAGAGGCCCAAAATTGGCAACCTCTAAAAAGGGGGCCAAAATTTGGCATTCAAAGAGGCCAAAACTTGGCAGCCTCTAAAAAGAAGGCCAAAATTTGGCAGTCAAAAAGGACTGCCAACATTTTGGCATTCTAGGCGACCACGGCGTTAACAGTATGCGGTTTACTGGATGGCTACAAAATTAACCCTGGTGCTAAATAAATTAGCCGAGTCTATTCAGTTAATTTTTTAGCCCCGGTGCTAAAAACTAAGCAGAGCCACGAATTTTTTTCTCCTTGTACAAGCACTATGGATCGACTTAGAATTCATAGACGAGCAATAATGGCCGTCTATAAGAGTCCTTTTGCTCTAATTTAATGTCAAAACATGTCTTTAATCAAGAGAGATAGTTGCAGTACATCACTATGTTCTTATCTCCTGAGTCGGTGGGGCTGGGTGGTGGCGGGCGTGAGCTCCGTCCCGCGCACTTGCAGTTGCACATCTCCCTCTCCACGAAGCAGCCGTCTCTGCAGTCATTGTCTCCGGTCGTGCAGACCGCAAGGCACGCGTCACTTTTATCCCGGCACTGGTTGACCGTCAGCCGTCTGCCCACCGGCTGCACGTCCGGACCGCCGGCCGCGGGGAAGCTCAGGCAGCCGCACCGGCAGCTGTCGCGGCACTGGGACACGCACTCTGCATCCCCCTCGCGGCACTCGCAGGTCGCAGTGTGGCACTGCAACACGCGGAGTGGGTCAGTGACACGCTAAACCCTTATGCATTTTATTGTGCATAAACGCATGCAGAATTCTCTACAGCCATAAGCATGCACAAATTTTATGTTTAATTATGTGCAAATTGTTTATAGTTATGCTCAAATTGTACATAGTTATCCATCAAATTGTGCGTAGTATAATGTCTGTTTTAAATTCTGTATGTCTATGCACAACACAATGCATAAGGGTTTAGTGTGCAGCTGGGGGCGAGGGGGGGGGGGGGGGCCGTAGAGCAGCACGGGACTTACGGATTGCGCGTAGGCGCACAGCTCCAGCGCCGCCCTGTCACCGGGGGTCGTCTTGTACTCTGCAGCGATGTTGCTGCTCGTCGCGCCGGGCTGCTGGAGGCACGCGCACATGCACTTTTTATGGTACGCCAGGCACCAGTTGATGCGCTCTATCTCCGTTTCCCTCAAATCCCGAAGGCAGGACATTAAGTTGTTGCCGCATCCACCCTCGCACCTATCCGTAGGTTCGTAGGACTCTGTGCTGCGCGCGAGGAGGCCGGCGCAAACGCACTCGCAGTCCAAAATCTTCTTGTGCAGGCAATGCCAACCCCAGTTGCTGCACTCGCTCCAGAGGGGATGTTCTTCGTTTCTACACTGCAACATTACTGAATGGAAGTGTGTTGGTGGTGGAGGGCCCCTCACTCTTCCCGGGAGCCGTGAGAGCCTCTTTAGGAGCACATGTGGAGCGCGGAGCAAAGACTTACCACTGGGGTACACCTGTCCCACTCCTCCACGATCTCCTTGGCTGGACTGCACGTGGTTCTCGCGGGGATCGCCACACGGGCTCGAGAACGAGTCAGCTGCATGCACTCGCAGATGCACTTCAATCTGTCCCGTTGACATGTGGCCACCTCCGTGCACTGTATGTATTTCTCGTTGCACCTCCTCTCTTTCTTGCACTTTTCCCATAGACCAGGGTCCACGCCGTCGCGCTGGTATCCAGCGCAGCTGCACCGGCATTGATCCTTGCACCTGTCCTTGCAGCCCTCATCGCCCGGGTAGTCCGAGTCGCACTCGGTGCAGGTCGCCCAGCGGCACTGCAACAGGGGGTCTAGTCAGTCAGAGGCGCTTTGAAACGCCGCGGCCGCTTTAATTTGGTCGCCAAAATGTTGGCAGACTTTTTCACCCGGTCTCCGTAGGATGCAATGTGGACCCATCTGGCAAACTTTGGCGTTCAAGATAGAGGGCAAACTGTTAAATTACTGCAAAGCAATTTATGGCAAATTGCGATCGCAAAAAGGTT